GGTTGTTTTCTCTAGAAAAGTATTCACAATTAGTGAAACAACGCTTAGGAATGAAGTGCGGGGATTTTGCTCAAATGCATCAAAGCAGTCGGGAAGAAAATAGGTCAACTAACTACAAACGTACGGCTTCGTGCTCTGCGTCCACATCGATCGTCAGTTGGAAGGACAAAAATGCCAATGAAAGCCTTCTCCAGTTCTTGGCGCTGCAGCAAAAAACTTTTGCATTATCTTGGCAACGTAACTAAAATTTGTTACCGCAAGTTTCATGGTCGCTTGCTTAGTAAACGTCAACCATCTGTATGCTGAAGAAACACGATCGGCTGAATCAATAAATGGGCACTAAAACTGACATTTCTGTAAAGTTGATAATTGTACTTGATCAAACCGTCTGATTCTGCACGACCAGGGCTGCACACAACATATCAGCACTCTGGATCCGTATTTTGACATTTTGTGTCGTACCGGTGAAATTAAACCGACAGAAGACCGGCTTGATTACAGAGCCGGATCGTCGATCAAGCTTATTTAACCTAAAACACAGCATAAAATGTAAACACTTCATGCAGTAGTGTATGGACGATTTCATCGGCATCATTACGCCCTGAGCAAACTTTATTTAAGAAATGCACTGAAGCTCTACTGTGAACATGGTTGTCGCTGCCGGATGCAGCCGAATATCAAATTGCAGATTTTCCGGACCACAGTGATACAATAATTAAAGTGCATTCCTTAAGGTAAGAAACTGAAAAGTATATTTTCAAAGTTATACACCACTACCATAGCAGAGCCAACGGCAAATGTTCAGTTTCGAGTGAGATGCGAAACAGCACTGTTGTACAGCAAGCGTGCTAACATCATTTCTAATCTCGTTGCCAACGCATTTTTTTCAGTTGTTCATCTTAATAGCTTGCAATCACATTAAAAACAGCCAGGGCTTTCAACGCAGACCATCAAACAATTCAATTTCACACACATTCGTTTGTATGCAGCATGTGTGGCATGTTCGGAACTGTAGGCTATCCGCACAAGCCTAACATAAGCAGTAGTTCTGCAATTTTATCAGCTTTAACACTTACGCGGCAAAGACAAAGAAAGTGAGAAATGAATTCGGACAAGCAGCTACGATGATATCAAGGATTACCAGGTAAAAGAAGTCACACGTAATCATACATCGTACAGTTAATTGTCTAAGAACACTCCCTGGGTTCAGAAGGTCATGCGGTCAGAAGGCGTGTTGTGGCGTGGGTACATACAGAATAAACTATGACATTCTTGGAAAAAAATTATCAACTGGAATTAGAACCACATTGTGTGAAAGCATGTACTGCCAAGAGTTCAACATGCTTTGGAGGCCTGCCCATCGCAAAAGCAGGGCGAATTGTGAAGAGTGTAGCAGCGGCCTATGGAAAGAAGAAGGCTAAAAACTTCCATCACCAATCAGTCACGAAATTAATGAAATGAAAAGAAACAGGGGCATGCAGGACACTATATCAGCTTCAACAGAAAACGAAAATAGGCAGGTCACCGCAGATGGCTCACGGATGACCAGTGGATTTCAGCAATAACAGGTTTGTATCGAAGGGGTTGCAAGCGCCCAACTGGATGACTTCAGTTCTTCAGTTCAGTTCAGCTAAGATGGAAAGAACTGCTAAGAAAGATATGAAAGCCTGCGGCGACAAATAGAACTAGAAAAACGAGCATGGAAATCGAAACTAGGTAAGTCTGATTCTAGAAATTTACGAAGAATCCATCAAGAATTAACAATCTGCCTAATTATAGGCTGCTTAGTCGCCCGAAGTCTAGGATGGCGCAAACTCATGGCAATGCATTTGTTTATCAAGCCGATCGCAGTTCGCCTGACGTAACGACGTTTAGCTGTTTCTGAAACCTAACAATTTGGACATACCTCAAAACTTCATCACATCACCCCTAATGTTTCATATTTAAACAGCGAATGCCACATGAGCATTACCACTAAATAAGGCACGTTGAAGATACTGTAATCTATATTCCGGAAAAAAACGATCGTTCTGCTATGGAATATATCAGATATCTTGAATACATTCTTCCACGGCGAATTCAAACGGGCTTATTATCAACAAACCACTGCTGAATAAAATCATACAGAAATCAATCTTCATCTTCATCTTCCGTGACCGATTCTTTATCCAAACAACTTCCAACGTTCCCGATCCTGTGCCAGAATCTGAGCTTCGGCAGAAGACAACTGAACTGTGAAACAGGCTCAATCCATATATTTGCACCAGGTTAATCTTGGCCGTCACCTGGGCCGTCTTTCCGTCGGTTTCGAAAGAAACAGTTGCTTAGCCTTCCTTTCTGAAGGCATTCGCAATACATGTCCAAACCATCGCAACTACGACTTCTAAAGCTGGAGAAGCAAAGGCTGTACAACACCAAGTCTCTCCTGGATGCCAGTATTCCAGACCACATCGACACACGTCAGGCCAGTGACTTGCCTAAGAAAGCCCATTTCAGCAGACTGTAGAAGGGTTTCAAGCTTTTCATTCATGGTCCACGACTCATGAGCGGAGGTAAACATGGGAATAAGATCGACTTGAACAACAAGAGCTTAGCTTTCAGACCAAGCATTACTTCAATTGACGCAGTGGATCGGGCTAGCTCACGTAGAACGCCACTGGCTACTGCAGAGCGCCGGTCGATCTCTTACTCAAATTTTACATCACAAGTAAATACAATTCCGAGGTACTTGAAGGTCTCCACCTCCTCCACTGCCTCTCCGACAATATGAAGAGAGCAACGGGCAGGACAACGAGAAAGCATTAACTATCCTTTCCGTTTTTGATGCGTTCACACGCAAGCCGATTACGTCTCACTCGGCTACGAACCCTTCTAGGGAGCACTGTAGATCAGGATCAGTTTCAGAAGATGCCTATAAAACAAGGTCGTCTGCAAACAGCAGCATTCACGTCTTCACATCTCCTATACCGATGCACTCATCGCCCTGGCTGCTCCAGACTATTCTACCCATAGACAACACAAACAGGAGTGGGGACAGCACGCAGCCTTGGAGGAGACCAGTGCGAACGTTGAATGGTTTCGACGTAACGCCATTTACTCTGACACAGCACCTGCTATCACAATAAAGTGATTGGATGGCCCTTAGCAGCTGGCCATTTATCCCGTGCTTCTCATGACCACAGACTGTTGCGTGGGAACCGGTCACAGGTTTTTTTAGGTCAACAAAACACATGTACCCGGATGGGAGTACTCCCACGACTTCTCAGCAAGCTCGAGCAGGGCAAATACATGGTCAGAGGTGCATCAACCGGGCCGGAAACCTCACTACTCCTCCTGTATCTTGAGTTCAGTTATTCCGCGCACCTCTTATCTAGCACCTTTGCGTACACTTTACCTGAGAAGCTCAATAACGTAATGCCCCTATAATTGGAGCATTCCTTGTGGCCTTCCTTCTTGAATAGGCGTACAATTACTCCCGTTCTCCAGTCCACTGGTCTCTTTCCCGCACTCATCGCAGTCTCAGAGAGAGCCAGCACATGCCTAGTTCGCCTAATGCCTTGAGCATTTTAAAGCGGATTTGACCAATTCCAGCAGCCTTTCCATTTTTCACGCTTTTCACAGTTTGTGCAAATTCATCTACAAAGACAGTAATATCCGTACCCTTCTGCTCTACAGGCCAGTCTTCCTGCTGTTGCGCTTGGTTAAGGAGTTC